CAAAATATTTCCGAGCATTACATCGGATTGATTGAACAAGTTGGGCAACAGCTTCATAATAAGGTTGTAAATTTTTGGCAGGTGAAACAGATAAATGTAACCACAATAAAGGTCCATTTTGCCACAAAACAGCTGTAGGGGAATGTTTGGTTAGAAAAATAAAAGCTTCTAAGGGTTTTTGATAATCAAAATAAAATATCTGTTGATTAGAAATGGCTATTTCCACCTTTTGAAGAGCCAATCGTCCTTCATATGTGAGGGTCCTGAGGGAGGAAGGATCAGGATCCCCTTGCAAGATATCAAATAAAGGTTTTAATTCTCCGGTAGTTAATTTTAAATAGGGACGTATCCAATTTATATCTCCCAATAATTTTTGAAAATCATTCAAAGTTTTCAAATTATCTTTTCGAATCTGTAACTTTTGGGTAAATATTTTTCGAGGATATAGCTGATATCCCAAATATGAAAAAGGAGACTCCTGTTGAATTTTTTCAGGAGCAATAACTAACCCATAATCATTTAAAACCTTTTGTAAATAAACAAATACAGTAAGCAATAATGATTCATCTTCATTTGCTAAGAGAATGTCATCCATATAATGTATCATATAAACAGAAGGATACCTTTGTCTAATACAGGAAAGAGCCTGCGCTACAAACTTTTGACATAGGGTAGGGCTATTTGCCATACCTTGAGGCAAAACTCTCCATTGGTACCTTTGCATAGGTTCCTGGAAATTAATAGAAGGGACACTAAAAGCAAATCGTTTACAATCTGTAGGGGCTAGAGGTATAGTATAAAAACAATCCTTTAAATCAATAACTATTTTAAAAGTATTTCTAGGTATTGCAGAGGCAAAGGGAAGACCAGGTTGTAATGCTCCCATGATTTCCATAGTTTCATTAATCTTTCTTAAATCTTGCAATAATCTCCATTTACCAGATTTTTTCTTTATAACAAAAATAGGTGAATTCCAAGGAGAGACAGACGGTTCAATGTGGCCTTTATCTAATTGTTCCTGCACTAACTGTTGGGCAGCTGTTAATTTCTCACTAGTTAAGGGCCATTGGTCAACCCAAACAGGTTTTTCATCTTTCCAGACTATTGGATCTGCATGGGGTGCAGGCATGTCAATGACCCCTAGGGAAAATATCCCAGGCCTTGTTTAGGAGGATGAGCTGACGGAGTCACAGGAAATTGAATTCCTTGACCTTCCTTTCCTAAACCAACATTAGGCAAAAATCCTTGATCAAACATTTGGTTAGAGACCTTTTGATTAGGGCTATATAAATAAACTCCCATTTGTTGCATGACATCCCTTCCCCATAGATTAACCGGGAGGCCAGGAATAACATATGGTTGAAAAGTCCCACAATGTCCTTCTAAATCACTCCAATTTAATATATCAGTACTTTGTTTAGGATTTCTACTTTGACCAATGCCTTGTAATTGAGAGACAGTCTCCTGCAAAGGCCATGTAGAAGGCCACTGGTCAGCAGTTATAACGGAGACATCAGCACCAGTATCTAATAACCCAATAAAAGATTTTCCTTGAATTAACAGTTTTATCTCTGGCCTATTGGCTCCAATAGATTGTACCCAATAAACGTCTGAGGACCCAAAGCCTTTATTCCCTCTAATGGCTTTTTTATATTTTCCTGAAGTAACTATCCTGGGTAAAAGAACCAATTGAGCTATACGCTGTCCAGGCTGAATAACAGAAATTTGAGAAGGAGAATAAACCATACTTTTAATTTCTCCAGTACAATCCTCATTGATAATTCCTGGGGAAATTATGAATCCTTTCACGGTGGAGGAACTTCTACCCAATAAAAGACCTAGGGTACCCCTGGGTAACGGCCCAAAAACTCTGGTGGGTTATGCTTGCATTCCCATTTCAGGGGTTAGTAATGCATAGGAGGGGGAACTGAGGTCCAATCCTGCACTGCCTGGGGTGGCTCGGAATAAGTCCTGAACGGATTTTTTGACTGAGGGAGGATCCGAGGAGTTGGATCCTGAAATGCCCCAAAAGTTTGATACGGGGCCTGAGGCTGGCCCCTTTGCCCATTTCCCAACTGGATAGGATTGCCCATAACATCCCTTTTAGATCTACATTCATTGGCCCAATGATTTCCTCTTTTACATCTAGGACATAAACCAGGTTCTTTAGGAGGTTTTGAAAAAGGT